CCAACCCCACCTCCATCACCGAAACTGAAAGTTCCAGTTTCGGTTGTTACAACATCACAACCAACAACCTCTTTTCCACCACCACCATCAGTTTCTTCTGTTTCTATTCCTACAACCACCTTACCACCTCCTATAATTTCCCAATCCACCACCACTACTATTCTTGGACCGACAGTAAGGGTCAACTTATCTGATACGGGGGCACCTACTGAAACCGAACCTCCTGTGATTTCTAAACCTCTTTCACCTACACACTCAACCGATTCTGGTGCTACTCTCGGTGGTGCTAACAATGAGTATGACTCAACATACTTCAGTCCTTACAGGCTTCCCACTAATGATGATGATGAGGCTCAAATCACTAGCCAACACTTGGAGAGTATTAATGAGAAGTTAGATAAACTGCTTGCTGATAACAAGGCTTATAGTGGTGTTGTACTTAAAGCTTTTGTGGAGACTGACATAGGGCAATACAATGACTCCATCGACAAATCTACCAAGGCAGTTAATGAATCTGCTTCTACTTGTCAAAAGGCCTCTGCTGATGTTGTTGATATTGTTAACACTACACAGATTTTTCTGGATTCTCTGAAAGGGCATGCCGATACAAATGCAGCCAAGGTGCAAGCTTCAGTTGATTCACTTTCCAAGTCTCTTCAGGAAGAACACTCCAAATTTTAAGTTGTTCATTCCTCCATTCAAGCCGAAAACACTTCTCTTATCACTTATGTTTCCTCTCAGATGGACTCACTTCATGCTGATATTGGAAAGAGAGTGCTTTGAAAGAAGAAATTGCTCGCCAAGCCTCTACAATAGAAGTTCAGAAAGTTCAAATTGCTCAAGCCGATAAGGAGATTGCTTTATTGAAGATAGAGAGAGCAGTATTTAGAAGTTGTGCAAGGGAAGTGAAGGATATGCTCACCAACATCCTTGGTGTTCATGATCCAATACTGACCTTGACCATTCGGAACCATCTCACGACTAAACTACTTCCAGCCCTTGCATTGTTACATGAGATGAAGGGTGTTTCGGAGAAGTTGGTTTCTCCAAAACAAGGGGGAGAGGGTGTTCATGTTACAACCGAACTGAAGGATAATGTAGCTTTAGGTTCTGGTTCCCAAGCCAAGCTTAAAGTTGTTAAAGATGACAGTGATGATGATATTGAAGAAACAATTGCTGATGCTCTCAAGAGAAAGAAAAGAGACAGAGAGTTAGATGAAAATTTGAAGATTTCAAGGGAAGCAGAGGAGAGGTAGAGGAGAAACAAGGAAGAAGAAGAAGCCTTAAACTGTAAAAAGGCCTTGTTTCCCTTATGGACGAAAGAGACATTAATCCATCAAGCTATAGAGTTTTGAAGTGTTTATTGGTTGGAACCTGTTGCTTCTTTTGATTGTGATAATTCTAAGGACTCGTAGTTCGATATGCCGATCACAAGAAAAGCGTTTGCGTTTCATTGTTTTGATTGGACTGCCGAGGTTCCTTTCCCTCATCCGAAGGTTGATAGAGAGCTTATCAAAATCACTCGAGGGTCTGCAAATTCAGTGTCAATGATTTCTCTAGCAGATCTTCCTAATATTAATCCTCATGATTGGATTCTTTTGTTCAACATTCTGCTCACCAACTCAGGGGAATATGAGCCGATTCTGGAGCATTTGAAGAGGATGTTAGCTTCGTATGTTTATGAGGTTACAGGCACGGATCAGGAGATAGCGAAGGTGATGAAGAAGAAGAAGTTAACTGTCAAGTCCACACCAAGAATAGGAGATGTGAATAAAATGAAGATAGGCTAAACTAATTCAAAACATCTCACTGTGATGTTTACTAAAGGCGAAGGTCATAGATTTTTGTTCACCATTGTAGATAAACATTTATTTTCAACGGACTGCTTGGAGCACATAATCAACCTCATTCATCGGTGCAAGCAGAACTCCGAAGCAGACAAGAAGAACTTCACAGACATGCTTCGGTAGTACATCACGTTCCGTCATCATCTTTTGGCCATCATTCCGAAGCTATTCAAAACTGTAAAGAAGTCTTCTGCTGCTCAACCGAAGTAAACTTTCGGTTCCATTGACGCAAAGGGGGAGATTGTAGAGCTTAATTGTGTTGCATCATGGGCTTTTTGTTTTGTATCCGGATTGGGTCTATCCATCCGTGATTATCTAGTAGGGTTATACTATAAATATGCATGCATGTATGCATTATTGTTTAACGAATTTTATTACGTTTATTCTCTGTAACCCTAAACGCCTTTGCAGTCGAAGTTCTTAGTCGAGCTCTTCTGAGGTGTTGAAGCATTAATCATGCGACATATTCAAAGCCATATTCGTGTTTATATTTACGCTCTTAATTGTTTGCATGCATAGAATCTAACGATCCTGATTGAATAAATTTCTAACACTAAAAGTCTAAAACCCTAGAAAATTGAGGAGAGAGGAGATAACACTTAAGAAAATCGTATTCTCTAAGGCCTCGTTTGTTTTTCTACAAAAGTACTTTTGAGAACTTTTCCCTTCTGGCGGGTAGAGGTTTCGCAAGTGCACGTCTTCTTCCGCAAACTTGGAAAACGACAAAAGACATTTAACCACTTCCAAAACAAATAGCACCTAAGTGTAGGTAAGATTGGGAATGAAATTAATGAAGGCTAAAGAGTCTATTTATAGATGAGGTAACTTGTGGATAAAATTGTGGATAAAACTGATTTAGATCTGTTTAATAATCAGATTTAATCCATATTCAAATCCTTTCTTTATCTAATATCTGGAACAATTCTGGAAGCCTTCTAGGCCTCCCAAAACTGTCCACCCTCTTTAGGTATTCTAGAATGTTCCTCTTGTTCAACTTTTGAACAATTAACATTCAGTCCATACACCTTTAATCAATTCCTAATTAATTCTAATTAACTCCAACTAATCCTAAATTAATTTTAGCTAGTTTCTAATTAATTTATCAAGCTATGATAAAGACAAAGCTACAAATTTAGTCCTTGTGGTTTGCAAAAATCTTTGGATGGGGTCCAAAAAATTTCAAGCTTGCACAAAAGGTCCAAAATCAAGGTTTTTCTAGGCTTTTAGTCCAAAAAAACTTGAAAAGACGATTATACCCTTTTAATTTCTTTTTTTATTTTTTGCAATTATTCTAATACCATTTTGTCTTAAAAATAAAAAGAAAAGATATATATTATCCCCCACCACCCATACGTTTTCTCTCTCCTTTCTCTCTCTCTCTCTCTCTCTCTCTCTCTTTCTATCTTTTCTCTCTCTCTCTCTCTCTCTCTCTCTCTCTCTCTCTACCAGTTATGCATCTCTAGCATAGGAAGAAGCCGGAGGAACTAGGAGACCACTAATCGCCACCATGACAATTCTCCTCCTCTTCCTAATCTGCTCACAGGTCTCAACCAAACACCCCCTTTCATCGTTACTGTAACTGCTCAAAGCCATAGCCTACAATGATAAAGGAAGTAGTCGAGTGAAGCACCGAAGCTACCCCTTTCCTCCGTGGCGATTGGTCGAGGAACACTACCCAAACACCCCTGACTCCTTCACTACCGACGATGAGAAAGGAAGCCATGACAGGCCTGTCGGAGACGTCGACTACAGCCCCTCCTATTGAAGAAGAATCACCCAAATGCTTCCCATGCCCACTGCTATCGATGGATCGAAGACAACAACCCCCGATAAGGTTTTGTTGTTGGTTGATTTATGTTTGCTTGGTTTGTTGGTTGATTTATGTTTGTTTCAATGAGATTGAATCAATGAATAGATGTGTCTTAAATGAATCCGATTTCTCTGAAAGGTTCTCGATCCAAATATTGAAAAAGGACTCCCGATTCATTTCTTCGAGAACAACATAAGAACAACATATGTTTCTAATTTCTTCCATATTAAATTGAAGAACTGGAAAGCTTTTAACTTTCAATGGTTGAGAGATGTGTGAGTCATTCAGCTGCGAATTGTGTTTTGGATGAGAGATATGTGGAGAGGGATTATTTTGATTTTATTGATGGTGATTCGTTTGGGAGTGATTCCAGTTTCTTCAAGTGTGCATCTGATGTCGTATTCCAATCTCCTAATAATCGTTGAGCATCATCGATGACACATCAACAACTTTAGATCCAAGCTTTGACGATTCCGGTGGTGGAGGACAATTCATCGCTAATGAAGCTATCTTCAAAGCAGGTGAAGGGTGAAGAAGAAGAAGATGGGAGGGAGAGTGAAAGAGAAAGGAAAGGGTCAGGTGGAGTGAAAGAGAGAGGGGAGGGTTGGATAAAATGATAGGGTGGGATATGTTATTTTTTTTAATTAAAAAAGGTATTAAATAAATATATAAAATACAAAAAAGAAAATAAATGGGCATAATCGTCTTTTCAAGTTTTTTTGGACTAAAATCGCGGAAAGGTTTTGATTTTGGACCTGCCATGAAAGTTAAAAACTTTTTGGATCCTATCCAAAGATTTTTGTAAACCACAAGGACTAAATTTGTAGTTTTGTCTATGATAAAATAATGAACTATTTGTCCCACTCTTTTTGAAACTGCTTATGATTTTTCAGCCAAAATAACTTAAAAAAACACTTTTTAAAGCAAACACTTTTTAACTTATTGACTTATTGAATTTTCCACTATAAAAGCTTATCTAAACTCTTTTTAAAAAACTTTTTTTATCACCATTATAAGCAAATAAACCCTTTTATCTAAAAACACGTTTCTAATTAAAAAAGCACTCCCAAACACCCACCGAACATCTTTTAAACTTTTTTTAATTTTTGAAAAGTGAAAAATACAAAATTCATTTTTAAAGTAATTCCAAACATCTTTTCTTTTGAACGTTTTTGACTTTAGAATATAAAAAATGAATTTTGTACTTACAAATTTAAAATACTTTTATAAAAAGTGAATTTTAGTATTTATTGATTGATAAAACACGGGTTAAGGGGTATTTCAGGAAGAGAAAAAGAACATATATATTCCATGTTTCTGTTTTCATAGATTCTTTCCCAAAAAGAGATGCTTATACGAATGATAGTGGAATTAATGGATCGTTTTAGCTTAATTAATTATTAAAAAATTAATCCCATCATTAGACAGAGGATTAAAACAGAAAATAAATTCAGATTGAACCACCAGAGAAGGTTCCCTCCTGCATCAACACCTACAACTACAAACACTCTCCTCTCTTCCTCAGTCCCTCTACCTTTTTCTATCCCTAATCAACCAACACCACCATTTCTATATTCATCATTTCTTCTTCTTCTTCTTCTCTTCTTCTTCTTCTACTGAGTTTAATTTCATTCAATCTTCTAAGTTTGACTACCGTTTTCATTGATGTCTGTGCCACTGGAACATGATTACATAGGCTTATCAGACGCTTCTTCGTTGGAAAGAAGCTCCGAATCCTCCAATATCTCTTCCGATTCGGAAACCAACAATGTTCTTAATCTCAAAGCCACTGAGCTCCGACTTGGGTTGCCTGGTTTTGCTAAAAATTCCGAAGAAAGCGCCACCAAATTTGCTCATGTTAAGAACTTCATGTCAGGAGCTAAAAGAGGATTTTCTGATGTTAATATTGAGGGTTCCAGCAAATGGGTTGTGAACGGTGGTTCTGAAGCTGATTTGGGTAAAAGTTCTTCTGTTTTGTTTTCTCCTAGAGGCGGGATTAATGGTGGTTTAGAGAAAAATCAAGTACAACAATCGATTTCACCTTCTAATGTTCAACCTATTGAAGAAAAAAAGAAAGAACATGTCAGTCGAAATGTTGCTCCTCCTTCTGCTAAGTAAGTTTTCTAAAACCCCTTTCATCATCGCAACGCATATTTGCGGAATTAGGGTTTAATTTCAAGTTCTTATCCCTGTTTTCTTGCTTCTTGAAAGTTATGTGTTAATTTGTATGTTTAACAGGGCACAGGTGGTAGGATGGCCACCCATAAGATCTTTCCGGAAGAACACCATGGTCACCAATTTGTCGAAAAACGCCGGTGATGTAGCGACGGCGGAAGGGAATTCCGGTGGCGGAGGGTGTCTTTATGTGAAGGTGAGCATGGATGGCGCTCCATATCTGAGGAAGATTGATCTCAAGATTTACCATAACTATGCAGAACTTTCAAAAGCTCTTGAGAAAATGTTTAGTTGCTTCACTCTTGGTATATGCTTCTTTAAGCTTTACGATTTTGTTAAATATGTTTCAATTTTATATATTTCTTGATGTGTTTTTAATAGTTATGGTTATAACTTATGAATGATATGTTGATTAGGGCAATGTACCTCTAGTGGAGTTCGAAGGAGAGAAGGGCTTAGTGAAAGTAACCTAAAAGATCTTCTTCATGGGTCTGAATGTGTATTGACATATGAAGATAAGGATGGTGATTGGATGCTTGTTGGTGATGTTCCTTGGGAGTGAGTTCTATATTCTAAAATCTTAAAAAATTTCCAAATTTGAGATTTGTGTTAAAAAAAAAAAGAAAAAGAAAACTTATCATGTTGTTTGTTTTGTAGGATGTTCATAGATTCATGCAAAAGATTAAGGATCATGAAAGGCTCGGAAGCAATCGGATTAGGTATGCGGCCTGGCCCCCATCTAGCAGACTGTTGTGTATCTGATTTATTGTTTAGTAGTTGTTAAAAATATTTTTAAGTTTTTTTGACTTTATGTTTGTGGTTGTGTGTTGATAATAGCTCCAAGGTCGATGGATAAGTGCAAGAATAAAAACTAGCATGAGATTGAGATGCAAGTCTAAAAGAGACATGTGAAGGGAAGAAAGAGAAAAGGGTTTTTGGAAAACCTCCAAGAGTTAATATATGTGCTTGGATATTTTTGAGTTGTAGTTTTATTGTATTTTTCAATATTTTTAGTAGGCAAAACTCATAACTGGAAGGAAGCATCCAGTTCTTTGGTGTGTGTTGTACCACTTGACATTTCTTATGTAAATGGCTTTTGTCTCCTACTCACTTCTTTTTTGTGTTGTTTTTCTATTGTAAATGATTTTTTTGTCACAAAAGTAATGGCCTACTTGCCCCATTTTATCATGTTCAAAGAATCTTATGTTTCGAGTTCAATGCGTGCAATGATCGCGTTCAATGCATACAACGAAGGTGCATTGTGAGAAAATGACATTCACTTTGTTATCGCGAAATGAGAGAAAGTGGGTAGGTTTCTTTAGAAGCGAACGTGTCCCACTAGATAAGTTATTTAGATAGTGTTTGGTATGATTGAATCGATGGAATTGTTCATTCCATCAGGAATGAAAAGTAAAAGAAAAAAATTATAACGGAATGGAATGGATCTCTATATAATGTGGTGTTTGATAAGACGGAATCAAGAATTGAGTCGTATGTTTTATTCGATCATAATGAAGATTCCTGTTTGTTTTGTTCTCGGAATAAATCGATCCTTATCATAATGAAAAAACTTTGTTTCCTTTTATTTTGTTGATTTTCATTTCTTTATGTTTTTATGTTCATTGTGGAATAGCATGGGAAATTAATAAATAGCTTATTTTTAAATACTATTTTCAACAAAAAAATTTAATAATTTTTTTCATTATTCTCATCAATTTACAATATTTTTTTAAATAACTACAAAGACATCATTTTGTTATGACTTATTTGGGTTTTAATAAAGAGTCTATTGTGCTATATTTTTTATTGTTTATGGATATAATTTCAATTATAATCAATAGAATATATAGAATAAATCATATATTAAATTCAATATAATGTAAATTTTCATATAACAATTCATTCTCCTACATACCAAAGTAATAAATCATTCCTTTACCCTTTTTGTTCCATTCCTACTTTTGTCCAAATCTTGACCAACTACTTTCCCAATTTAAGCAGACCATCATTCAAATCACACAAGGCAAAAACCTAACATGGACATGAAAAAACACATCTAATAAATAACACTAATCTTACCTACATTTCTTGTGGAGATATTTGAACATACACCATTTGAGTATATACCCATTAAATACACAAGTCTCAAGTCTTTATAACCCAAGCCTATAAAACAACCCAAATCTTCCATCTTCAACAATAGGATTTGAAACACATGTTCGATCATATCTTGTTTGATCAAGCATGGATTCCACAAATATGCTATTATGGAAATGTTGCGATCATAAAATTTGTTTATTGTTTTGAATGAAAAATAGTTTTGTTCGTTTTGGGGTGGTATATTTGCAGAAATATCAAAGGGTCCGAGTCACAACAACCGAAGTATATGAGTGTTTTATTTCAATATGAATTGGCTTCTTTGTAGATATCTTTAAACTATTCTCGTTCATATAATTTTAATAAAATTATTTTATAAACTTTTCATTGTTTTTATTTAAATTATTTACTTTATTTTTTTTAGACCACAAATTTAACCTACTCCTAAACTAGTCCTTAAATCCATCTATGTCCACAATGAAATTTGAACCCTCAATCTCAATGAGAGGGGACAACAACGGATACCGTTGAGCTAGAAATATTATGGGTTTTGATAAGTTTTTATTATATAGTATATTTTTAGTTTTATTAATATAAACTCAATTCTAATTAAATTAATCTATAAAATGGAGCTAAAATTACATATTATATGTGTTGGTGATTTTAGTGTTACCATATCATTTTATGTAACTGGAACTAACATGTGAGTTAAGGGGCTTCTTATATTGTACTCTAATATATGTACGGGTTGGTGCGGAGTCCACACATGTATAAGATCGAATTAGAAGCCGGTTTAATGACTAGTCGGGGGTTCGGGGGCAGCGCCCCTGGGTCCGGGGATTTCAAAGGAGCAGCGCCCCTTTGGCGGGGTATAAGGGCAGCGCCACTAGCGGGTCCAAGGGGCAGAACCCCTGGCTGGGGTCCCACTGCCAAGTCAGCGGGCGGGGTCGAGGGTTAGCGCCCCAAAACCTCACCGAAATTTACATATGAGAACATAGTGGGAAATTCAATTTCTTGGAGGTGATTATAGTAAAACTAACGAAACTCGTTAGTTTTGGCAACCCTAAATCCTCATTAAATCTGGATTATCCTGACTTGCTTCCAAAGCAATTAATGACGGTCCAACCCTAATAAAACCTAATCTCGTTTAATATATAAACGACTCTTCAGTCTCAAAATAGGGTTACGAATTTTAGCTCTCATTTTCATGAAACTCTCACTGAATCTCTCTAGCAAATTGGCTTACGATTTCTGTGCTTAGAATCGTAAGTGTCCACTTGGATTATCTTAGGCTGAATTTCTTGCAACCCAGACATAGGGTAGAAATATCAGTTCGGAAAGTGTTCTCCCGATCCAAGTTGGTATCCAAATTTCTACTATAAACCCTAATATTTTCTTACAATATTTACATATAATATAAAATTTTCATTGTATTTCTATACGCCACAAAACATGATAATTGAATGTAATTTATCATTCCAATACTATATATATGACATTACTTTGTCATTGCATTCAATCCATACAAGAATCAATACTCTACCTATTCCATTCCATCTTCATTATATTCCATCAAATCAAATTGACACTCCTAAGTATTGAATACTTTGTGAGTTTTAATTAATGCACTTACTTTTGTTTAAATTAATCTTGACCAACTACTTTCCAGTAGTCCAACATTTCTGTCACAGAGGGCATAAAACTAATATAGACATAGGATGAAGGTACCTTATGAAAATACTAATTGCTATTTAGATTATGTAAAACAGTAAGCTAACTGTTTCTTTTGGAGATATCTAAACATAAACCATATAAGTTTACCCATTAAAACAGTAATTAGCAACCTATGTTATGATTATGAATGATTTGTTGATTAAGGAAATATGCTTCCAGTGTACTTAGAGGTCAGTAGGCTCAGTACTTAAAGTCACCTATATAGGATCGTTTAAAAGCAACGCAATATGGGATTTGTGTTAAGAAACTTATCGTGTTGTTTGTGTAACATATATATACATAAAAGTTTTTCAATATTGATATATGTGCTTGGATATTTTTGAGTTTTAGTTTTAGTATATATATTTTTCAATCTTTTTGATAGACAAAACTCGTAACTGGAAGGAAACATCCAGTTTGGTTTGTATCGAACCACTTGACATTTCTTATGTAAATGGCTTTTGTCTCCAGCTCACTTCTCATTATGATATTTCCAACCTTTTAAACGATTTTTATCTTAATTATAATGGCCTACTTGCCTAGTGTACCATGTTCAATGATCTTTTTGTGTTCAATGCATGCAACGATGACACTTTGCAAGAAATTGACCTTCACTTTATCATAGCAAGTTTTGGAAAACCGTGTCTCTTTTTGTTCACTTACTTGGTATTTTTAATCCATGCAAATCATGTGCTCTACATCAACCACACAAAGTTTAAGCTTTGTGTAAGTAAACGGACCCATGAAAAGCAACTCCTTAATGTAGTGTTTGGTATAATGATGAGATTGAGAAACCAATGGAATTTTTCATTCTAACGGAATGAAAAAATAATAATAATAATAACAAAAAAATAGGTGTTTTGTCTAATGGAATGGAATGGATAATTAAGTGATTAAATTTTGTGACATGACTAACAAAAAAGATTTTTTATGTAGTATTTGATACGATGAAACGAGAAAGAAATAAAATTGTCATTCCATCTTAACGAAAAAAAAAAGACAGATAAAATCTACCATTTGTATATGATCTTTTCATTTTGTTAATTTTAATTCTTTTACTATAATAAGGTGTTTTTCTAGTATTCAATTTTGGAATGAAATGACTGCAAATTTGGTCTCTGTGGTTTGCCATTTTATATGGTTTTTGTTCTTGTAGTTCTAAAATTGTAAATTTGGGGTTTTTCATCATGTTTTGATTGTGGTTTGGTTACTAGAGATGACTTTCATTATCTCACATCTATTAACTCACCCTATAATGCCCTTAATGGAGGAGTATTTTAGTCATTTTACATCTCATCTCTCCCTTATCTTCTATACTCATCCATGAAGATCCTTTATTCCTCACCCTCACCTATCTCACTTTCATGTATCCTCTCGTTCTAGTTCAAACTCGTGATCTTCAACCTTCAAAACCCTGATTTGCAGTTTTCTCTACAATCTAATACATTTTTTATTAAACAATCCGATTTAAAAGATTTCCATTATTTCAATAAATTAGTTAGAAAATATTATTTTATTATAATTTATTTGGGTTTCAATAAACTTTTAGTTTAAATTGTTATCTATATAACTAAAAAGTTCAACGCCACATAGTGAATGATATATATAAATACCATTTACGTATAAAATACACTTTTTTTTAGGAAAAAACGAACTAACTCCATCCCCCAAAACATAACTTTTTTGGGAAAAACATTCATTTCTTTCCTCCAAAACATAACAAACATGATATAATGGAATGTAATTAGACGTGTGATGCCATAATACACCAAATCTCTCCAAACAACTTTCCCAATTCAACCATACCAAACATTTAAATCACAAAAGTAACAAAACCACCATAAACAATTAACAAACACATCTAACAAAAAATACGCAATTTCAATATACTCTAATAAAATTTTTTTTTTTTGCCACATTTTAAATGTCACATTTTTATTTAATTTGCTAGATGTTATTCTGGCTATTTTAAATTAATTTTTTTCCACATGATTTTTTATTTTATTAAATTTCATCTAATAATTAAATAACAAATATAATAAAAATAATAATAAATAAATATCAATTTAATCGATCCAACTTTCTTTTAAATTTCAAAATTCCTAAATTGAAACCCAATTATTTTTTTGTATATTTTTTTAATTTAAAAGTAAAAAAACCACTTCAATTTCAATAACTCAACATTTTTCTCACTTTCATTATAAATTTAAACTTTCTAAATATTTAGACCTCTGTATTTCATTTTTTTTTTTTTTGTAGTACACTCGTTAGTAGTACATAGATATTACAACTAATACAATAAGAACACTAATCTTACAACTACATTTCATCTAAAGATATCTTAACATACACCATTTGAGTATACCCATTAAATACAGTTTCCTCAAGTCTCGATAACCCAAGCCTTTGAAACAAACCAAATCTTCCATCTTCAACAATAGGATTTGAAACACGTGCTGGATCATATCTTGTTTGCTGTGTAAGTGAAGGCCCTGCAACTGGTGGAAGCTCCCAATAAACATCAACTATGGATTCCACAAATCTGCTATTTTGGAAATGTTGTGTGTGTGAAATCTGTTTGTTTGTGTGGTTGAAATCATCTCTCATGTACCCTTTTACCCCCCACCATGCCTCATGGGGCCCACATAGGTCATTTATGTCAACTGCCTTTTCCCAGAATTGTTTTCGTTTTCTTCTTTGTCTAGCTTCATCACTATCTTTGAAGCAGC